TTGCACCATCCTCGGACCTGGCCGAATCCTGGAGCCGGTCCCTGGAGCCTCTCTCCTCCTCTACTGCAATGGTCTAAAGATCCTTGGGTCATCACAGCCAATACACTGTGTATAGTATGCGAGGACTCTGAGGGACATACCATCGGTGCACAGGAGGAGGAGACAGGCTTCAGGGACTGGAGTAGCTGCCAGCAGGCTCTACAGTTCAGGTCAGTGTAACTTTTCTTTTTAGCATCTAGACAGAAACGTGCACTGCAAGGGCTAAGAACATTTTTGCACTGAGTTCTGCTTTAATGGTTCTGTGAACAGGCTGGTGCCAGGTAAATGACATAGGAAGCTGCATTCTGGGATTCTTCTCCCAGCAGGCTCCTGTCAGACTTTGAATTTGGCATGAGTGTGCATGGCTCTACCCTCAGAGCTGTATCATATATTCACAGATCCTTTCATAGGATCTATAAATGGAGAGACTGATATCGGAAGTCCCATTTAGGAAGGCAGGCGGCATGTAATGACTCGCCGCCCAGCTTCCTGCTAATCAGTTAGCCGGGGGGCAGGTGATAACTTGCCGCCCGGCTTCCTGATTGGCCAGCTTCCCGGCCAATCAGGAAGCTGGGCGGCGAGTTATTACACGACCAGGAGACTCTTAGTCTGTCACACCTCCAATGACCGCACATTGCAACTGACAGGCCAGGAGTCTCCTGGTCTGTCACACTTCCTCACCTGTGATATGCAGGCTCATGCAAATGAGCACTAGGTTAAATGTACATGCCCCTCCTTACAGTTTCCTGCATTTGTCTTTGCCTGATGGGAAATGTAACTCTGTTTCACTGCACGGATGTGACGTGCACCAAACTAGATAATCCTCCTCCCCTAGGCCCCTTGATGACTTTGTTGGATTACAGGAAAAGTAAGACATTATCATTTAAACTTTCACCGTGCTTTATTAGAGCTTACAGAGAGAGGCCTGCAAATGTAAAGATAAGAGGATCCTGGGGTTGTTGTTTAAGTCTTGTCTGCCACGGCAGCAGAAGGACTTGTGATTCTCAATGGAGTACAAGTGTGGTGATGTCACTGTACTTGTACTCCATTCATACTTCTCTCCCTCACTACAACCGGGATGATAGGAAGAGCTTGAAGGAGCCAGAGTATTGCTCCCGCAATCCACTTATCCGCATTGCAAAGCTTTGCAGACTTAAATGCAAAAAAATAATTAACTTTTTTCTTTTAATAATGTGTGTGTATTTATTAGTATTATTATTTTTGTCTTTTTTTTCTTTGCAAAGCTGGGCTACAGTATGCCTTTAACACCTAGTTCTAGCATGTAGAATGTAGTCTAGCCACACTAGTGAATTGTGAATCATAGGAGCATACTCTTTCACATCCTTTTTCTGTTCCTCTGTGAAAGTTGCACTGTCATGTCATTCATAGCAGATTTTTTTAGCACAGAATCAACCCTCATTTGACTTCTACTTCCCCAGATGGAACACACTCTGCTGGATCCTTTCTACAGTGTTCTGTTAGAGGGAATAGTTCAGAGTGTATCATGTCAAAAGCAAAGATCTCTTTGGTCTGCGATATGATGGAATAATGACCTCATGATTTTGTTCCACTGAAAGGATTCAGCACAAGAACTCCTCTGTTGGACATCTGCTTGCCGAAATGATATGCAAAATGTAACTTCAAGATGTTAACTAATTCTGAACCCTCTTAGGAAAACAGACTGTTCATGAAGTTGAAAGGTTTTTGTTTTTTTGAATGCCTTGACCCATTTTGTAAGCGTTTTGATTGAAAGAATGGAGGCGAATATTGAGCATGCAGATACATATTTTACTAATAAAATATTGCGGTACAGCCGGCATCCCCCAGGTCACGCTTTCTTTTTTAATTTTGTCATAGATTTCACAAAGCAATGTAAACAAGCATAATTCAATTTCACTCTTTTATGTTAAATTTCCTTTTAGGATGTATTTTAATAAATTAACACTGTCAGCATTTTGGCATTTTCCAGACATACGGTGTTCTGAAAAGTCTGTTCAGAGCATCTGTTTCCTTTCTTATGGATCACTATATGTATTGTCTTATACACGGTTTTGTAACGATGATGCAGCAGACAAAGTATTTACACTGCACAGTGTTAGGTTGAAAGGTTGATGCAAACACATTGCCTTCTTCAGAGCAGACTCATATGCTGAAACATATTTTGGTGATTATGATGGTGGCCTGTATATTAGCACTTTATTAGGTGTCAAGCCCATTACATGTAAAGATTAAACAGTTCATAGCCTTTAAAGGGCACTTCTTCTGCTGTGAATGACAGTTTAAAGAAACATGCATTGTTTTTCATTTGTTAATTGCTAGGAGCAATTGCTCTGCAGAGAGCACCTTAGCTGCTTCTAAAGCTGGTACTTGTTGAGTTTTGCTTCTTGGAGTAGTCACTGAACTTGACCATGGAGAAGCATAGGTCTACCATATTACTATATACAATGCAGCCTTACCAAAGATGACGCAGGCACCAAAGTTAAGTTGGAAAGAGCAAGGCCACAGCTTATTGTAATTTCCCAACATAAAATTGTATATATAACCATAACCAAACAACCAGTGCCAGTCATAGCTGTGCTGTGATCACCTGAAAGGAGTAACAAAAGGTGAACCTGTCTCTACCATTAGTGCCGGACAGGCATTATACTGAAGGGGGGCAACTTCTTCTCTGATTGATGATCCTCTGGACAGAGGAGCACACCTCAGTGAAGCCTAAGTGGGAGGTCTTCACCCCATCAACTCCTAAGGATGTAGCCCATATTCAGTACCCCCACTTAGATGAGACCATGCTTCCCACAGTCTAGGCTCCCTTACACTAGGGGGCTCCAGGGGCCTTCATTATAGGGTTAAGGTTTGCACTGGACCAGCATTTATCATTTCATAACTCTGAAAAAGTAACCTAATCTTTGTTGACCATTACTGGTTGGGCTCTGCTGCTGCAATTTGCTGACCTGCATAATGATTTCGCTAGGTGGCATATATTTGGTGAGTACTGTGAGAGCGATTTTTGTACATAGTGCATATCGCTTTAGTGGTGGTGGAAGAGCTAGAGTACTTAGAATAATTCTGCTCTGAAATTCTCATAGTTCCCCTGTATACTGATGCCTCCTGAGAAAATGTTTGTGCTCATTAGTTATATCTGGGAAGCTCACTGGTGATCAGAACCTTCTTCCATTCATTATTGTGTTCATTGTACCTGCTGCAAAGTATCAGGTCATCATCATCTTGTATATTATATATAAAGAGAAGAGCACTTTCTGTTTCTTGTCAGGAGCTCTGAAGGGTTCTTGTACCATTCAGCTTTACACACTCTGCATACTGCATCTCCATCTCTACTCTTATTTCTATTCCACTGCCTGTTCCTGCTTTTCTTTACAAAAGACTACTTCCGTTTTTCTCATCAGTGCAGAAGGATTGTTGTACACATTCATCTTTACTCCCCTGTTCTGCAGTATTTCTCCTCCCGCTTAGAGCATGCACAAATAGTCTACAACGTGACTACACACAGAGCACACTCAACAGACAGAGGATAAGCAGATAGACCATGTGTAGTCAAAGAACACGTGGAAAGACATATACAATACAAAAGGGGGCATATGAAGATATTCTCCATATTTGAGAAGTTGTATTATGTAAGTGTAGCCATGGTGTTAAATGAGTATTGCCCATGTTTTTGGATGCAGTTGTATTGCTTAGCTGAAATATAGAGTGCAGGGAGGTCTAGAACATGACTGCAGTCTGGGAGGGGTGCCTTGATCACATGACTTATCTGCGCAGAAATACCAATACATTGGCAGTTAAAACAGTTCATCTGTATATATTTAATCTGTGCATTTAGCCACATGCTTGGAGTTCAGCTTTATAGCAGAACTTCGGGCACAACTTTTATTAAGCCTTGCAGTGGGGCTACACTGCAGCAATGGTATGTCCCTTGGCATCCTCACATTCAATACACTGTGTATAGAATGTTATGACTCAGGGACCTTAGATGGCTGCAGCAGAGGGGGGATCAGGTGAGTATATAAATGTTTTTAACCTAGACAAAAATGAGCAGTTAACCCTTGCAGTGCGGGGGTGGCCCACTGCAGGATTAATAATATGTGTGCCCAGAGTCCTGCTTTAAAGCTTTGCATCTCTCTGTTCTCCTTGAAAGCAAAAACAACCACACACAAGAATTTTTATTTCCTAATGTCCCGTTTCCTTTAAAACCATACTTTAGTCATCGTTATTTCATTTTTTATTTTGATGCCTCAGCAGCATAACAAACACTTGTACTTGGGTTTCTAAACCAAGTGCTTTTCTCTCTATGTTTAAAAACGAGAAGAAGCCACGTGGATGGTGTTATGTTGTTCAGGCTGAATCCTTCCTGCTCTTCCAGAGCAGCTTGATAGTTACAGCTGAAGTAATGTTGTGCTTGTTAAACTGTGTTATCACCACATTTCTTGGTTCAATCTAAAATGTGTAAATAAAGTCAGCAGGATGTCGATGGCACTGCCAGATGATGTCTCCATGCTACAGCACGAGTAGGCTTGCCTTGGCTGCTCAGACTTTGTCAGTGGAAGGAATAATACAGGGTGATTTTGTTCATATAATCGACCAGCTCTGCTGTGGTTCGTGTGTAAAATGATATATATATATATATATATTATTTATTTAAGATGGACATTGTGGCTTTTTTATTTCTGCAAAAGAAACATAAATAATTAACACAAAGGAAATAGGAAATGTAAAGTGAATAAAGTAAAGATGAGAAATCACGTGCCGAATCTCGCTGCTGCAGTCCCCAAAAGATATAACACAATGGTGGGTGTTTGAAACCGCAAGCATTTACCAGAAACTGAAAGAACAGTTTTAATTGGACTGACCCTTCACAGTACCTGGCTTATCTGGTATCCGTTATTTTGTAACATGGTTTATGTGCTGCTTCTACAACTGTAACTTTTTTTGGCTATTTCTTTTAGGAGTCTGAGAGAAAGAGCATCAGGGACAGAATTCAGATGGTACAAGACGTTGTCATCACAGTTCAGAATATTTTAGAAGAGATTGCGTGCTTTGGAGAGCGAATCAAGAAGTAAGTTTTTAACTCCTCTTAACGTAGTGCGTCCAACACATCAATGAAGTCTGCCAGTTAGTTATACGTTCAAATGATTCCTCCAGTTTGTCCTCTTTTTGAGTACACAGCTATGCTGGCTGTGTTAAACGGACACATAGCCCAATTTTTCTTACCAAAATGCCGACTCCATGCAGAGTGTGACAGGATGAGAACTTTGGAAAACAGATGGAGAACTCCACTTAACAGAATGAGAACTCCTGGGAGAGACATGGAGGTTGCCATTGCTACTTCGTATTCTGCAAATGCCAGCTAGCTGGCTGTTCTATTTACCCTCAATGAAGCTGGAAAGTAAAGTGTCATTTTACACATGGGGTACACATGTCACACTTTGCTTTTTCCACTAGAAAATGTCCATACAAATGACAACACTGTTTCACAATATGACCATTTTTAACACAGTTGTATGACCATCTATGTTTGTATGGTTTCTAAAGTAACATTTTGGCAGGTTTTATTACATAAGGGTTTTGGAAGGTTGGGAAGTTTTGACCAATAGTCTAATAATACTCAGCTGATAAATCATGTATAGATGGAAAGAACCCTGTAGACATACATTGATGATTCATTTTTAAAAGACCAGTAGATGACATGAACTACTCAGGTCGGTTCTTATGTTCCATATTGGTACCAATTCATAAAGACTAATGCTGTGTAGCTTAGCAAAGTGTTGTGAAGAGGGTAAAAATGGACTTTGGCTTAGTAGTATATTACGCAGATTAGGGCGGCAAGCAATTTTATTGGTCATTTTTACAAGCAAGGGAATTTAAAAATAAAAGCAGGACAAAGATACTTCATCTATACCTCTACATTTTTACGACACAATAATTTTTACTGTATTTTACAAAATCTGGCACAAATAAAAATAATTCAAGATTAAAGTTTATAAATGATAAAGATGGAAATTGGTAATCCATGGAATGTTTCTAAATGGACTGATCCTATGATTGATTGTTTCTTCCAGTTTGACATGCTAGAAAGAACTACCACGTTATCTACTCCCTTAAATTAATTTTAGTATATTAAATATCACTCTACTAGTTACTTAATGACACCTTTTTGTGCCTGACTTTTTTCTTTTGTTTAGGCTTCGTGCCCCGCTTGTCGGAGCATTTTCATTAAGTGGTTCTAAAGTCATTCAAGGAAAAATACTTTGCAACCTTTTTAAACTCCCCAGGAGCTTGGCTGAACTCCCTCCTGATTACACAGTACGTCTCCTGGTCAGCATGCATCTCTAGCAGGCAGTTTATTTTGAGTAAAGTGTTGTGCCATGGGGCTTCAAATGAGAGAGCCACTGTGAAGCAGCAAGCACAGTACAGAACACTTAAATGGTTGTGGGAGGTGGACCAGCAACTAGAAACCGCATGAGCTCTGGAGCACCTGCTGACAATGTGCAGGCTGTGATGTTTATAGGTGGTAGTGTGTGCTCATTGAATGGAGGAACACACACACAAGGGTACTATATATATGTTCTATATTTTGCATGTACAATTTGTTATATTTGTGATACATCATGCTGAGCACTTGGGAAAAATACTTCTTAGGGTGGCCTTAAACAATTGCATAACAGCATAATAATTGCAAGGTTTTTGACTATTTAAAGCGTTGTTTGTGGTAATCAGAGATTGACAGTATTAATTATAAAGCATTGGCAGTTTTCCTCTCACAACTGTTTGGTAATATTTTGCAAACATTCTCTTTTTCTCCATAAAAAGGAAACCCGTTTATTGCACGTACACTACAGGTTATTAAGGTGACACTAAATTCAGTAGTAACATTTTAAGAATGCATTTAAGTACCCTAACTATTAACAAAAATGTATCATATTTGTGTATCATTCAGCTGTAGATCCTCAAATTTTGTTTCCGATGGTCCCTGTGTGTGTTGTAAAGTAGCCACCGCTCCAAGCTCGCTCCCGTGATGAACTACAATCTCAGTACAAATTAGTAAACTAAATATGAGATTGTAGTCCATCACAGGTGAGACCTTGGAGTGGTGGCTACCTTACAACATGCACAGGGACCATGAGGAATAGGTAGCCACCCTCCAGAAGGAAGGACAGTGTCGGCATGAATTCAGAGATGATTTTAAGGATCTACAGATTTTGAGTGATACACAAACAACATTTTTGTTAATAATTTAGGTACTTGAATGCATTTTAAGATTTAACTCTTGAGTTTATATTCACTTTAACTGGGCTATGGAATAGGTTTTTAGGACTTGAGAAGACTTGTTAGATTTCCAGTTTCAAGGCTTGTTCACAGCTTGGACATTGAGCTTCATTTCTCAGCATACCGCCTCCACATGTATAATGTGAACATAGAATGCAATTGTTTTCTGTTTACTCTGTTCACACCGTACATGTGCAGTAGTCTGCAGAAAAATGCAGCTCAACGGACATGGTGTGAAGAAGACCCCAATGACAGACTATATCTGCCTATCAACTGGCCATTACAAACAATTACTTTATTGATACATTTTCCATTGGCATTTTTTTTAAGCACTCCGAGCACAACTATTCTTAACCCTTGCAGTGATGCTACCTCTGCACTGCAAGGGTTAAATGCTTGTTTTTGTCTAGGGACTACAATAAAAAAAGTTATACTCACCTAAACTTTGCAGCTGCCTAGCTGTTAGACCACTTCCTGCAACCTGCCTCCTTCTCCACTCCAGCAGTCTAAGGTCCGGAGTCATCACACTCAATACACTGCATTGAATTTGAGGATGCTGAGGGACACTCCATCACTGGAGCAGAGGAGGCATGCTGAAGGGACTAGTCTAGCAGCAGTAGTTCAAGTGAGTATAGCTTTCTAATTTGTGACCCTAGACTAAAATGAGAACTTAACCCTTGCAGTGAGGGAGTAGCCCCACTGCAAGGGTTAATAATAGTTATGCCTGGAGTTCTTCTTTAATGCTTTTTAAATGTTAGTACAATATTTTTTTAAAAGTCAGTACAATACTTGACAAAGATATGAGTGTACATGAACTGTTTACATTCATACTTGTTACAATCAAATGTACAAAGTCACAGAAAGAAAAGCACAGTAGAACCTTTCACAGGAAAAGTACTTAAACCATGCACAGGGTACACAACTACTATCTTACCCAGCCTAACCAGCATGTCTAAACAGTGTGTGAGAGTATTAGTAATTTCTAATGTAAAGTAAGACTTAGACAAGAGTAGAGAGTTAAGACAAGATATGAGGGTGGGTTGGGGGTGCTCCAGGGTCTATATATTAACCTACCAGAAGGATCTTGCTCTCTAGGAGTGTCAGCACATAAACATTCATATAAAGTAACAATTAAAAATTATACAAGGTTAGAGAGTGTTAGTGAGGGGCAAGGTTCACAAGTTGTTAGCAGGTATGGTAAAGGTAAGCATCTTGAGCTTGACGATGCCATCACATTTATATATTCATTTGGTCTTTAAATATTGTACAGTGAGTCAATACCTTGTGGTAGTTTTTGTGTGTATGTATCGTATATATTCGGTTAGTTCTTCTATTATCTATTTTTTTTACAAATATTTCTAAATAACTAGTACGGTCTGTTTCAAATAGAGATAAGTGATTTTGTTGTATTGAGGAAGTGCGGGGTAAAGATCCCTTGTTTTGGCGCACTGTACAATTCAAGAGGTATAGCCCAGGTTTCAAGCCTGTTCAGAGCCCCGTATTTTGTTTTATAATACTGTGCATTGCTACATTTTTCCATAATGTCTGGTTTTGGTGGGTGAAAGTACCATGGATGTCACAGCCTCACCAGAACATGGGCAAGATTGTTGGTTTTACGGGATATCATTTTGTTGGAACCTGGTACTATCTATATACGAGTTTAAAGTTTGTCCCTGTTATTCCCTAGTCATTAGGGAAGTACGAGCAAGTTGCAGGCATTGAGAGTGGTTTGAATATTTCCTTTTCTGTTTGATAATTAAGGATGATCGGGTGGGTCGAGTTGGAGTAGTGTTTTCTCCATTTCTTTCATGAATTTTCCTTTAAGATTAAATCATTAGGTTACAGAGATCATGTTGCTTACTGTTGTTGAGGTTGGTCTTTTAATCCACAGGTATTCATGTTTGTTGAATCACACACCAGAATTGGGTAGTATATTTTCAACATTATTGATTAAGAACCTATTTCTGCTAGGTTCCTTTTGCTAGTCAGCTAGCAAAAGGAACCTAAATTGTACTTAATTTATACTACATCTGCCCTGCATGACTCTTGTTCATTATGGGCACAGTACATACATTTCTGTAGGGCTGGAGTAACCTATTTTTTAGTTCTACTGTTTATTAGTGCATGTATATATTTTACATTGTTGATGCTTCCATGGTTTAGATGACATACCATGCTTATACAGGTACCTTGAACATTGTATGCGGCTTTTAGGTATATTTTCAAATGAATGCACTCAAAACCTGTGTTTTTTTTATTTTGTTTGATTTTTATTTCAGGTTCTGAATTGGGTGCCTTTGCTAGCTTGCACCACTTGTTGCTAGAGAGATATTATTTTGTTCCTGTTTAGTGAATCTCTTATGCACATATTTTTGCTTGTTATAAACTGGAGGAGCAGCATGTCACTTTTTCTATTTACTGTTAGCTCATATGGTTGCTAGAATACTAAGAGCTTAAGATATGAGTAATCAAATAAGTACAAATAGGCTGCATTGAAGACTTACAGAATGTTATAATGTAGGGTCACATTTGACAGAATTCACCAACTTGTCAGACTGTACTGACCCTACTGTATATAGTGCAGAAGCTGCTTATATGGAGAATTCACACTTTGTTGGGTAACTGCATTTCTGGGTTATGATTATTTTGATGGTAATGACAGAAGTTTCGGACTCTTTTTTTCATGGTATATTTTCACAAAATGTCCCCCTTTTTTTAAGTTAAAAGCCCTGAGTTATGCCACATTTTCTTTTTTAGTTAAAGAAAAACAAGTGTGCTCTTAACTTGAAGAAAAGGTCTACATTATCAGTGGAAATATGAGTGGTGATTGATTACTGTGGGAGTTTGGGTATTTGTACAAAGAACATTAGTTCTATTGAGCTTGGTTTTGCTCCTTTGCACTTCTTAAGCCTCCTATTAGTCAGTGAACTCTCTCACCACATTAAATGACCCTTAAGGAAGCCAGATGGGACAGGATCAAGGTGGACTGTTAAAGAAAAAGTCAAGATTTGCCTTTAATTTTTGCTGATTTATCTATATCAGTTGGTTGTTTGACATATGTATTTTATTGAAGGTATTTTCAAGTTATTTTTGCATTGAGTGTGTTGCAGACCCTAGAAGAAGATGTTTCTCTTGTTATGCTCATTTTCCTAATAAACACCCCCTTCCTTCCTGCACCGAACAACATATACAGTATTACATTCTCCTTCCCATCCCTGCTGAAAAATACACCATGAATTGTCAAAGTGAAAATGTTTTCTTTTTCTCCCATTGAGGGAAACAGGAAGTTTTTCACCTTTTAGTTATACTGCCATCTAGAGGGCAACTGGACACCGGTAAACAAACAAAAAAAACACTCTAGGCCAGCTCAGGATAACCTCTTCTACTACTGGCATGTATCATTTTTTTGCTAGTGCCCTAGGAGGATGGGTGTCTTTTCTTCAGGACTGTCAAGACTAATCTGTTCTTTTTCTAGTGCTTTTTTTCTTTACTCAAGACTCTTCTCTAAATTGCTACTAGAGCTCATCTCTTCATTTGAAGCTATCTAATGCAGTCTTCCTCAGCCTGGCCTTTGGACTGGACTGGACATTGTGGGGCTAGTCTAGAACTGACCTTTGGTCACGGGGTTCTTTGTGGTGTGCTTTTCAGACTTTGTTCTGGCAAAAGTCACCTGTGGAACCCTTTCTAGGTCCAGAGCTGCTGGCATTGCCTCAGCGCTTATCCTGTCTCTGAAGACTTAGTGAAAAGGTTAATTAGGGCAAGCAAAGGGAGCTACATCATTTACATAGGTTGCTGGGCATCTTTATTGCCAACTCCTGCTGCTTTCTAGAGTGAAAGGGGTTTATGTGGGACTGGGCACTGTTGTCATTCACTGGGTCGAGGGTCATGCCCACATGCTCTGTTTCCCACCATACAGCATTGAAGAGACTGTCTGATTCCAAGTTTGATTGATGAGCTTACTACTAGGCAGTCGCGGTCTACTGCTATTGGTCCTAAATTAGAGGAGACCATTTTTACTGTTATTGATGCAGTGCACACAACTCTAAAATTGGGAGATGATTCTGTTGCTTCTGCCAGTACTGGATCTTGACTTATTAACCTTTTACCCATTTGGTAAAGTTTTATTTGATGCAGTTTTTTTTCCTCATCTGGACTATTTTGATTCAGCAGTGTCCCTCAACAAGGCACTTACTATTTCTGTAGAAGGACCACACCTTTGAGCAGTTAGAAAACCCTTTCTAGAGATCTGTTCAGTCTGGCATATTTTTCTCTTTACCATTCCTGGCTGTGACTTTACTCAAAAACATTCAAGATATTTTCTAAATGGAAGATGAAGAGCAGATGGTGATGTGACTGGATTGCCGTACATTTTGTGTTGCATCTCTCCCTCTCTTCAGTGCCTGAGAACTGGGCATTGTACGCAGGGAATGGCGTGCTGCAAGGTAAGATGTGTATACTTTGCAGCAGCCAACTTTTTAATGTTGATTTACACAACCAGTGCGGTGTTTAAATGATAATTTTTCCCAGAGTATGGCTTTTAATTTCAACTGTGGCGGTCTGCACGAAGCCTTGTGTCTCATCTCTTGCATGTATTTCATGTCAGTACATTTGCATAGGGCACCTTGGTTGAAGTTTTGAATTGCGGAACCCGTTTTCAAGAAGCACTTGATCCGCATGGCCTTCAAGGAAAGTCTCTTCAGATTGTTACATCCTTCCTTGTCAAGGTGCACTCTACTAGATCTACCAGTTCTACCAAAAGGACATTTCAACATCTGATGCCAGTTTTGGTTGTAAGGTCCTTTGGGTGCCTTTTTGGGCTGCAGGAACTCCCTAGTTCTCTTTTTTTGGGGGGCTGGCCTACAGTTTTTTTCTTTTTTTGCCAGTGTCAAATTCTCTTTCAGCTGTCAGTATAACACGATGATGAAAGACTTCCTGTGTCCCTCCATGGACTCCAGGAATAGGATTTTACGATGGCTACAAAAATCCTATTTTCCACCGTCTGTAAGTTCACCATTCACTATTGCTAAAGAGCTGTGACAGGAGAGAGGGTGCAAGATGGAGATTTGCTCAGCATAGTTTACTTTACTGGTTTGCATTAAATACCAACTTATTACAGACCAGGTGATGGCGTTGCGAACTCCATCCCCCCCTTACTTCCTGAGATTCTTCCAAATATGAATTAAACAAGATGAACAAGTTCTTGGGGTGTCTTGCTGCAAGAGGGTTTTACATTTTGGTATCTAAAAAGTTTGTTTAAAGCTATAGGAAGGTGTTGGGTGATTAGACATTCCAGTGCCCCCCAAAACTGGGCTGAATTGACATAAAAGGTATTTTATCCTTTTCTTAGTCTAAAGGTGTTGCATCAGTTCATCAGAAATCATTAATGTGAATTCATGCATAGATTTGTTTCTAAGGCTATCTAACAAGTAGCAAAGTGATGTATCCAGTATTTAAGAATCTTTATTATTTTTTTGCAGCACATTCAACTGGAGTGTTCCATTCCTGTCACTTCTTGCGTGCTTCATACTTCTTGTTGCAACAACTATTTTGTATTTCATACCTTTAAGGTACATCATTCTGATATGGGGTAAGTGGCTAATCTGTATTATGAAATGGGAAAATCCATCCTGTGGTATTTGTTTAACTGAGTTCTAGATAGTTCTCTATAAAAAGTAGCTGTTGTGGAACAGAGTGAATTAAATATGCTATGCGCTGATATTTGTATTATCACTCAACAAACTTTTATTTTTTAATGGAAAAGTTAGATAGTTTAAAGGATATGCCAACTAAATGGTTTGGCTTTTGGGAGGAAACAGCACAATCCTGATGTTTAATTTTTTACCTCTGTTTAATCTTATACCTGTAGCTATACCCTCCAGTCTATTTTTGCATGTTCTGAAAGTGTTTCAGATTTCTCATAGCCTTCAGTAGGAAAGTTTTCACATAACACACAGCATGGGCAGAGGTTGCTAAAAGGACTGAGGTTATAAATTAATTGTAAATTACCTTACAAGAGCAGATAGTGTCAACAGTGCTGAGATATACTTCCACATTTGCTTCCCTATTCTATAAGATAAACCAATTAATAAAGTAATTAAAAATATATAGGTTTCAGCTTCATACTAAACAGGTACATGTTTGCATGCAGAATAAATATGTAGTTGGTTGCAACGTTACCAGTCATATTACGACTTACTTCATTAAGACACATGATAGTAGTGGGTCCATAGTGGGTGTTAGTGCTTACATGCTGCAAGGCTGGATGGGGCCAGCCTCTAACGTTTGTAATAGGGAATTATAAGCCTCAATACATATCCCTAGTCTTGTGAAGACCAAAATCACATTTTAAGTTCATAAGTCTTGAAATCATGCTTTGCCTGCAATAGCATCTTCTGCTTTTCAGACCCCGCCTGGCCAAGGCAATGATATGCAGTAATGAGTAGTGATTTCTTATGGCTTGGGTTGCTGGTGGCCACACATTTCAGAATTAAATTAATTTAACTGTGTCTAGGATGCATTCATATGTATTTGAAAATAGTGTTTATTTACCTAATACAAAACAACACTTCACAGAGAATACCTTTGCAAGTGCACAACATGAATCACCGTGGCGGCATATCTACAAAGACTCCACAAGCAATCGTTGTACCATTTGCCTAATATGTATTCGGTGTGACATGGCTGTTTTCACACTGATGGATGTAATGAGATTTTTAAAATGGAAGTTAAATATTCTAGGAGCTTAGGTGTAAATCAGAGTGTAGTACACTGAATGTGTTCTTTCTCTTCTTCATTTTCGGCCTGAGAAATTAACATGTGACCATTATAGAAACGAAACACCAGGCTTTCACACTCATTCCTAACCTGTGAATTTGCTCATACTACCTTTGCTGATGTGCTGGCATTTATTGTGTCTCAAGTAAGAATAAGCTCAAATTGATTTTTCTTCACAGGCATCAATAAATTTACAAAGAAGCTTCGGAACCCATATGCCATTGAAAATAATGAGTTTTTGGATTTTCTCTCCAGGGTACCATCTGATGTTCAAAAGGTATGTGTTTGTCTGTATGTGAATATATCTATACATATAGATATAGATATAAATATATCTATATCTATATATATATGTGTATGTATGTGTGTGTGTGTGTGTGTGTGTGTGTGTGTATG